TGGATAAAATATCTTTTTTAATTTAATGTTTGTTGTGCCGTAATGATTTATTATTTACATTATAGCCAAAATCATCGACACTTGAGGAAATATCGCAAGAAAAAATAAGTGGAGTAGCAATGCAAGATTTAAAGAAAAGTGAAGGTGTAGGTGAAATGTTGGAGAATTTTAAAGTTAAAGAATTACAAGAAAATTCTGAAAATACCAATAGCAATACAAAAGAAGAAGAATCACAACATGTTAATCGTGTTTGTTATAAATGGGATATTCCATTGAAACAATTACGTGAAGCAGTTGAAGAGTATCAGCCGACTAAATCCTGTGAAAATTTTACAAAAGGTTGTCAGTGGTCACCTGATGGAACATGTTTATTAGTATCCTCAGAGGATTTTAATAACCGAATATATGAACTGCCACATGAATTTTATTCTGAGAAGATTCCCTTAAATGTAGAATCTACTAATATGACAGCAATATTAAATATAAAAGAAGGAGGAATTATATATGATACTTGTTGGTATCCTTACATGAATTCTTGGGAACCTGCAACCTGTTGTTTTTTGAGCACTAGTAGACAAAGCCCGATACACTTGTGGGATGCTTTCAATGGTGAATTAAGAGCAACATATAGGGCTTACAATCAGTTAGTAGCATGAATTATTTTAATCACTATTTATTGAACTACAGTTTCGTAATAAAAGCTATGCTACGATAGTTTGTAATATTCAACTAAAGACTATATTAAAATAAATCATAATATTGTAAATATTTTGTATACAAATATTTATAAACTTGTATAATATCTACACACACTTTTCAATACTTTTTACTACTGCTGCATTAAACAATAATTGCAGATATAAAATTATTTTAATTTGTAATTTAACCTATTGTAATTTTTAATTTTTATGTATAAAGTGTTTTAAGAAATTTTTACACAATTTTTATAATGATTCCAATGTAACATTTTATAGTCAGAGAAAACCTTTACAGAGCTAAATAATTTTATATCAAGCTATTTCTGATTAATATACTGATAACTATATACAAATTTTAATTTAATAAATATTTTTATCTATGAGAAATATTTTATTTTATGAAATCACAAAATTAAATTTAAGTAGAAAAATTGTTTAGGAGCAAACAAAAGATACCTTTACGTGTATTATTTTATTATATTAGAGTGGATGA